CCCGAGAAGCACATCGATTTTTCGTCTCTCGCTCTTCATACGGCAAGCCTAATTTCGATCATTTTCCACTCTTTCCTTTGTTTTTTTTTACTCACGAGGGAGTCAGCTGGCACGTATACTTCTGTTTCCAACCCGATACCAACGACTTCGGGATCATTGCGAATTCCGCCTTGGTGGTTCTCTTCAGAGTGGAAGTTTACTGCGTTCCAAACAAAATCATCTCAAAAATTTACAGTGCTGCTGTAATGATACCTCAACAAACAAACCAGCATCATCCATTCCGTCTTGCATATAGTGATGGTAACGATAGTCGCCTTTCACTACAGAAACGACTCCTCGTGGTTTATCTGGAAAATTAATCGCAAGTACTTTGACTTAATACTAGTTACACAAGTAAAGTACTTAGTGGAATGAGAGTAGTAGCGTCATATGGAAAGTAGCAAATAGTCACTGATCTTACAGAACAACATTGAACTGCATTGTCTTTGCAATGTTCTAGAAAGTGCTATAACCCACAGTTAGTGATGTGGAGATGAGGCGATCGTAGCAGTTTGGACGAAGCAAAAGTAATCGTTTGAGCAGGACGTATACATGGCACATCGAGTGGAAGATTAAATAGTTTATGAATCTTCACACGGAATGAATCTAAAATGCAATATTAACGTAAAGAAGCAGTAAATTCGCGCACAGAAAGAAAACAGACGTTGTTCCATATCGTCGGCCAGTGGACATTGGAGGTGAAGGAGAGATGACCATCCAACAGGCAGAAAAACTTGCGAAACAGTGGGAACGACATCTCCCTTAATAACAAAAAAAAACTCATTTCGTCAATCTTTCGCGAACAAATTTGCTTCACTATACGAGTAAAAAGAAAACGTATCGATGGAACGATGGGAAACTTGTACACGACAGAAGAATCGACCGCGTACGAAACTGATACAGAATGGAACAACAGAATTCTATTAGAACGAGTAGAGTAACTCAAAAAGCAGTTGTGAACTGCCCTTGAATGAGTTACATTTTTTAGGCATTCGATCCGTACGATTTTTCGAGTATGAACATTTCCACAAGTAAAGGTAAGCTAACACGAGATTTACCTGCACACTGTATGAATCGTTCATCACAAACACCATTCCGCGAACTCTCCGCCGTACCCCATCGAGCAAACGATCATAAAGGACATTTGGACTATCTCCAAAAAGGACCGGAACAGTAACGTCGAGGTTGGCGTTGATACGTTTGTATTTGGTACCATCTGAGAAGTCCTATTTGATCAATATAAGAAGATAGAAGCACAGAGTCGGACCTACCACGAGTTATTCGAACAATTGGCACCATCTTTTGATCTTCAGAATCATCTTTGTTAGTGAAACCAAGGCAACGATAAGCCGAAAGGTCTACACTATCCTGAAACATTTGAGATAAAACAAGACAACTTCTCTTTAACAACGACGGACATAAACCTTTTTAATTAGGAGTATTCGTCAAAATAGCATATACAAACAGCCCACCTTATACTGCAAAGCTCCGCGGGAAAGATCATCGAGAATATTGCGCACTTTTTCCATTGTTTCTTTGCTCATGTCTTTACGTAGCAACATGCCTTTCTCAATGTTCGCAAAGGATAACTGATCCAATCTCGCTGAAAATTTCTCCACACCACCTTGTAGATCTTCAGCTTCCAGACCCATTCGTAACGCACAAGAGAATCCAACCTTCAAAGTTATTCGTTCAGCAGTGAAAGAGAACACCTGAGTTTCAAGTTCTTCCCTTGAACGTATAGATTACCTGAGCTCTGACAGACAGACCATCAGGCACGAGGATGCTATGTCTCAGAATATCGTTTTGAGTAAGAAACGTGGTCACATCAGCGGCATCCAGTATCTCTCTAGTTGTTGTAAGAGTGAAGCCATCTCCAATAAGTGGAGCATCGTCACCTTCGACACAAACGTTTCCCACAAGCTCCACATCTGAAACAGTGCTCATGTTTTAAGGTAAAACGTAGCGTTGAACGCTGCCACAACTGACGGTCAAACCTGCACTCATACAGTTCAGCATGAAGTGAACCGTGGACTTGACAAGAACTTCGGATGGAGCAAAGACCACGAGGACAACCTCCTTCCGCGCTGTCCTTCCGAAAACGAGCCCCCCAAATTGAGAATTCTCATCGCTCCATGATCGAAAGTTCTGATAATTCTGTAAAACTTAATGCTTAACACGAGCAGAAGAGTGAAAATGAGGGCATAGCTCACCTGGAACACGAGGTCCGTGTTCACAGTCCATTTCTCCCTCATTACGGTGGAGCCTGAACCAACAGAAGACTTCTACAAAGAACATTTTCTCGGATATCTCTTCCTCTCATGACATAAAAATGATTCCACAAAAAAATCAAAGGAAGGGAAGAATTGACCGGTACATTGATTTCCCAATTATACCATATCATTAAAAAATATTGAACTGCAGGAAAGTCACAGAATAAGAACTGCTGCATAACCAATCTTCACAAGACAGTATGTCTGAATTTCTTTATTTTATTTAAATATCCATTCAGAAACCCATACAGATAGAAATTATAAATTACCAAAGGATGAACAGGATACCGAAACGATCAAGTGAAGGATAAAATAGAAATGGTTAACTTCAAGCAACAACGTCATGTTACTAGAACATTTACAGACATCGCACTCCTAACCAAAGTTTAAGCCCTAATGTAAACCTATGTGAAAAATTCCTAAACAGCGATAAGGCTGATAAAAAGACACAGAAAACTAAAATCCTCTTATTATATATAAGGCATACTTTCAGTCAAAGATCACACACTGTAAGTTAAAAAAGACTAACATTGAACATTGCCTTAGCCACAACGGAACGCTGAATTCCAACCTTCGGAGAAAATGTGAGATAACACGTGAAAATTAGTTTGGTAAATACAACAGTGAACGTGAAAATAGATGGTATTAACGCAACCTTCTAGCGATTCTGACACCACCGCGATATAACAGAAATCCTACAGCACCCCAGAAGGCAACTCGGAATGCAAACTTTACTACCTGCAATGAACCGATTTCAGTGACTCTGCATGGTCACCATTCAAGTATTACAATCCCAAAATGAACTGCTAAAACTCTGCCAAAACTTCTACCCTGGTGAATTGGCGAGGGTTCTGATGAAAAAATATTGTGTTTGTTTATGGAACCAAATTGCTGCAGGTGGCGGTCTGACACAAGCAGCGGTACACGGCGAGACTGTGCCGCACTTGCGCTGGGCATCTGCGCTCTGGCTTACCCTGGGGAACGAGGATCACTCATTCAACAGGTCTAATCCAAGGAAGCCAAATGGTGCCGCTGTGGACTAATGAACGTCGTATTCACGTCCTGACCCTCAAATAAGCCCAAGCCCCTAATGATGTTATACCTGACCAAAACTGTGGTTCAAGTAGTCAGCAAAAAACTTTCGAGATTTCGGGAGTTGCAGTAGTCGAGCTGTACTAAAGCATGATTTGAGCAAAATAGCTACAGGCTGTCCTCGCAAAATCTCCATTTCAAAGAAAAGCATCAACAAAAACAAAGTATGTTATGAAAACAAAGGCTAGTTCTGACTTTTCTATCTCAGGATCATACAAGTCAGAAAACGGATCTATTGAAATGTTACTACCCCACAGATCTCAATTTTGTTTCTGCTAAAACTTTGCCTATAGAAGTTATTCGGTGTCCTGGTAATGGAAATAACATCGGCTTTCTGATGTCCTGATTACGAATTTAACATTCCTTCTTACTGCGGCCACTTGACAACAAAATAGAGCTGACTCCAAAAGTGTATTTGCCATAAGGCTGGGTAACCCTACAGTCGATTTCAGCGAAAACCTTTGGGATTTTGAGGGCAACAGCTGACTTAAGCCAATGAAAACAATTAGTGTGGTTGATGGGGGCGACAGTATGTTTAGCACTACACTATGGATTCTAGCTCCCAAGGGCTTCGTTGTCCAAAAAAGCTACAAAGAAAAAATGAGACTCACTTTTGTGGAGGTAGATGGAGGAGGAATATGAAGAAGTGGCGCTATATCAACGGGATTATCCCAGTGGGCAACAATTCCTGGGGTGTGGCCGATTCCAACAACTGCAGCCACCTAGAAAAATTACTGGTTTTGAATGAGTAATGTTGCTCGAATACTTCCTCAACAGCAATCAAAGTCACCCGTAAAGGTTGCCATTCAACATCAGTGCGTTCCCATGACAGTCGCTTCTCAATCGTATTCTTTTGTAACAAAGAATGAAGAGCATGAGTCATATACGCATCTCGCTCGTCAACAAAAATCTACAAAAAAAGTAAGATAGTTAATACAGTGGGAGAAAACGAGTATAAGAATAAGGCTACTCGCCTTAGTGAGTTTGGGGAAGTCTCCAGCCATTTCTGCCAACAGCTGCTCCAGCAGGTCTCGCTGCTTACATTTTTCAACCTGAATCAGTCACTCCGCTTTTGTTTTCAAAAGAACAACTTCTGCTTTTTCAAGCATCTCACCAAGGAAAATTTCTGTTCGTATAAGGTTTACATGGAATCGACCAGGCAAGGGCCGAGCTTGGATAGGTCGCATGAAGCACTTTTACCCCCCTCCCCCAAAAAAAAGCTGTAATCTCTAGCATTTGATGCCTTTTGCTCTCATACACACTACCCAAACATGTCATTCTAAAGTATGCAATCAAATGCAATGGACAGAGGCATTGTTACAAAGCGGTCTGAAAGGATGAAGGATAAAGTCTTCGCCTTCTTGGGGAGCGGTAAGCAGTCTACTTCTATTCAGTATCGAGATTGCTTACTGGCCTACATATTACAGCGACGGTATTATTACCAGCAGATTTACAAGTCAGTGTTTTATCCCCCCCCCACGACAAATCTGGCACCAATTCGCCGTCCGCCTAAGCTAAAGGGTCGGCCGACCCTGGTGGTAGTTGATCCGGACTTTAACCTCGGATAGACCGCGTAGAAGGAGCGTCACAGTGCCACAGCACCACTCCACCCCAATGAAGGCGTTACGAGGAAAAATGTGAACTTATTATAAAATCTATCCCATAAAATCACCTCTTCGGGGGTTATTGATGCACTATGTGACAGCGCAACATGCCAGAAAAATTTGATTTTCTGCCAGAAGTTGAGTGAACCAAGTGCTCTTTGAAGTGTAACGTGAATCGGACGGTCTCCCAGGACAAGGCGACAAAGCTGAAAAATGTGAAATTACTGGAATGAACTGCACAGAAAGAGGTAGTGAAGAAACGGAGCTTCTTGTTAAAATGATGAAAACAATTTGAAGCGAAAGTGCAACCTAAAGTGAACTGCTCAAAACGAACCTGTGTTTGCATAACTGCCTTGTGAGCAGCGCGAAATTCACCACCGGGAGCCATAGACAATTCCCTTGTAATATGAGCGGACATAGAAAGCAACAGCACATGCAAAATCCCTTGCACAACACCGCTCTGAATGTCCACAGGTTTCGAGGAAAACAGAGCACAACAGCGAAAAACGTAAAGCGAAAAATGATGCGTAATGTTATCATGCCGTTAGGCCCTTACTTCAACAAGTTTTTGTAAGTCAGTGCAATAAACTTACATTATAAATAGGCGAGACAAATTTTGAAATAGCGCTGTAATGGAAAGGGAGTGCGTTTACACTTGGCGTGAGCGTCTCAAGCGTTTAGGGCGTTTTGAGCGACGAGAAATATGGTTGGCGATCCGGCGCTCCAAGCGTCCACTAGCGTTCTGATTAACCAAGAAAATTGAGGTATGATCATCGCTGGAACGCCCGCGGACGCAGATGGCGCTGGTGGATGCTCAAAACTACGTAGACGCTCGAAATGCTGCCGCAGAAGCAAGAAAGCATTTTGACTGTTGTGGGATATCGAAAGAGTTATGAAAGACCCAAGCACTGGAAAGGGTGAACAAGTGAAGAGCTGCATAGGGTTGCAACCAGTGTAAAGCAAGTATCGTAGTATGTAGAAGCAGGGGTAATTAGGATAAAGAAAACTAACTGACTGAAATGTATTGGTCAGAGTTACTTGCACTGTAGTATAGAATAAAAACACAATGCGGAAGAAGTACCCAATTCGGAGCAACTAGTTACATACCTGCTTAATAGTTGTCAATATTTTCTGTGTGTTTAGATCGCTAGCCTCCTTCAAGAGAGTTTGTTCATCCATTGACAAAATCGAAATTCTGCTCGGACAGAGCTCTACCATTACCAGATCGGGCTGCGTAACGGCAATCGTCTTGACTACGTCTTCTTGAGATTCTTTGCTGCAAATACAAAAAAAGTATAAATGATACCTACAATCGAAGGATAACCTCAAAATACCTGAAATGAGCTGTTCCAATCAAATAAACGGTCGCCTCCTCAAAAGCTTTCGCCCAACTTGCTTGATTGATTCCATCAGGACATGGCGGGATTGGCAAATTTTTCGGATATGTCAAAATGGTAACTAAATCGAAAACTCCTCTCAGTAGGATGTACTAGGGAGGTGCACCCCACCTGTATCTTGTGGCAGCTGCACATTTAACGGACGTTTACGATCGAACATCCACCCATTGAATATTCGGCTCTAAAACAACGGGAAATGCTCTACTGGTGAACTGAAGAGATAAGGAATGAAAACAGCCAATGAAACTGGAGTGAACAACAACAGAAGAGCTTTCCGATTAGTTTATCAATGGAAGTTGTGCTTTTTGGTGTGTCTTCACGAGAAGGGCACCCCTACCGCGTCAAAAAGGATAATTACGGATTGCCCAGGAGTTCGTGAGTTTTTGTACCTCGTACCAGTACTTTCTGTTGTTTTTTCTTCGAAAGTCGGTCATAAGGGATATGTTAAGCGTCTTCTGCCAGAAATCCACAGTGGATTTACCTCATGTAGTTGCCGCTGTTTTCATGTTTAAAAAGATGATTTCATCTCCGATACTCTACGACGAAGCTTACGTTTTGTCTTTCACGCAACCAACAACGGACGCAAGCATCGCCGCCAAGGCGAGTCCCGACGACGGGACGTTGGCGGCGGGTCAGCATGTGGACGGGAGCTACGCGAAGCGTGTCGCGTAGCGGTCATGCTGACCCCGCCTTTTGGGAAGGTATCTCCCCATTCCGGCTTTCGTTTCGTGTTTGATCCCCACCGGCCCGCCCTACGAACAGGTACGAAACGATGGACCAGGGCAGCATTTGGTCCCAATTGGTAAGCAGACAAGGTCGATATGCCGCGGACTGCGGGATATGCACTATCACGCATCTTCCTTGGTAAGCGTTTTTTTATGATCTAGTATATCTCAGGTTCTAGATTCTGTCCAAACAAGCACTTGTTCGGACAGAATCTAACATAAAAATCTGAGAAAATGCTGTCATACCAGGAGAAGGTGCAACGTTAGATAACACTTGTTCAATAAATCGATCTAATTCAATGCTTCTATGGCTCAATGCCTTGAATCTCCCCACAATACCCATACTTGAATCGCTTCAAATTATTGGCTTTTGGCCCTCTAAGTATAAGACAAACTAGTGGTGAGTGTGTCAGTAGCTTGATCCCCTCTGGGAGAGCACTAGTTTGGGCCTTTTTCAGAGCCTCAAGAACAGTGACGATGACAAGGAGTTCGTGCAGCTCGCTTCAGTCACACTCTATGTTGGCGTTACTGATTGACCCTTAGCGGTAAGCGCTTCACACTCGCGGATACTTCCTTTCAGCTATGGAGTATGCTCCTTTGGACATGCGATCAAACTTATGTGAAGGACTGGAACGAAGGACAGCAGACGTGATGCCACTATCAGTTCCAGCTGTGGTATGGATCTCGGACAACAAGATGGGGCTACCGACGTTGAACAAGGATTTTCTGCCAGTTCTCTCGATTAACTGTGAAGACACATTGTTCTAGTTCTTCCCGCTAGTTGTGTTGTTGATGGTGATACTATTCGTTAGACTCTACAAGTTATTGACATTACGTCTTTCTATCCGTTATTAGCCATGCACTATATCGCGAAGTAGAATAACTTCAAGCATCAGCAAGAGTTTGATGTTCCAATAAGGGCAGGTGCCTAAAGTGTTCAGTTATCGTAACATAACATGTTGTGTTATTTCCGCGTATTTACTGTGAACTAGTTCTCGTTGATTGCTAGAAGCGAGTCCATTACCCAAACACTACACATTCAGTGTAGAGTCTAATAAGTTATACGCATTGTACGCAATAGATATAATGTATCGGTCAGTTTCGACCAAGTGCGACACGACAGTAAACGATAAAGCCTTTGCAGTTGCCGCTGTTTTCATGTTTCAAAAGATGAATGAAACATCACTTTCATCAAGTTTGCTATATGAATCGTCACGGAGTAACGACATGTTTGGTTCACACAGGGCGATTACTGCGAGTTAGGTCATGATGCTATTACCCATAGAGGATGCAAATGGCACGATCGCTTTTGCTCAAGTTACCCTTCAAGTGTGCCGGGAGGGGGATGGGGGGGGATGGGGAGGAGGGAATGCCTTCGTCGAAGGAGGCCGCCTGCGTTGAATGCAGATCACCTACGCCTTCAGGGTGACCAACATGTCCTCACTCTCTCCGGAAGGTGGTGAAGTTCGACCACAGGATCCCCAATGAGATGACCGATTCAAGGGGTAGGGCCTGGGGAGAAATGCTTACTACTTGTCTCTCGCTCCCACCGTATCGAGTGGTTGACAACTTCGGAAATGGAGACGAAAAAAGGTGTCCCCGCAGCCCTTTCCTTCATTCTGTTTATGCAACTAAATTAACAGAATTTCCGCTTACACCTCTTTCCGTAAGTATTGTAGTTTTACAATTATCGACCGATAAAACGTATTGATGAGATAAAAAACACTTTCATTCAGAAATGGGAGAGAATCGTAATTTGCCGCCAGTAGGCGTTGCGTGCAACGTCGCAACCGCTAATGACGACTATTTCAGGTGGTATTGGTCGAGGGTAGACGATTTCGACCAGAAATAGACATAAGTGTCCACCATGGCCTTGTCTCCGCAAAATCCGATGCTCCAGTCGGAAGGGTCGTGCAAATCAAGGAAGCGTCTGCCGCGCGCGACGAAGCGGCAATTTACGATTCTCTTGCCCGTCTCCATTCAGAATTTAACAACTATATCGACAGTAGTCATGTACAAATATATCCCACATTTCGAAATTGGGCTGATTTTCGACCACTTTTTACGGGGCCTTTGGCTTAGGATTTGTTCCCAGGGTATTTCGACTTTTTGAACATGAATATCACATCCGCTAGCTTGAACTGCCTGCAGCTCGCGCGAAAAACTCTTAATCTCCGAATTCGCTGAAAACTTGTCCGCAGGGGCAGCTTGACCTCCTGAACATGTATACTACATTTGAATGGGGTCTGTGGAACTGAGGAAGGAGGAGAGGAGAGACACGCATGCAGCAGGGGTTTCGATGAAGGGGTGCAGCCTGCTGCGCTGTTCTGCACCCCTTCATCGAAATCCTTGAAAGCGGGGATTGTGCCGTCGCCTGTGACGCGAGTGATTAGTGATTCTGTGCTAGGGAGAGTCCATATTTGTGATCACGACACCGAAGAACCCCAATGTGCAAGGTAACATTGAATTTGGTGAGGAAGATGATGGCACTAAATGGTGCCAGCGCTAAAAACTATTGCGATATTAGTGATAAGGCATCAAATCGCCCTGAGGGGCAAAGTACCAACAAAGAAATGCGAGCTTTCTGCGTATTCATAGTTGGGTACTACCACTATAGCTTTTGAATTAGACTAGTGAAGCAGTTCTAATCAGCTATAATGCATTCCCAACTAGAAGAAAATATTTAGTGTCAAAGAGAGAAACAAAAAAGCAGTGGAGGCTAGCTACCTGTAAATCAGCAGTTTCACTGTCTCCGGTTTCCACTGTTTCTACTTCATCAAACTCATCACCGACATGCTCATCAAAATTGCTCGCTGAATCCGCCAAAGAGATAACTGATTGGTCTGCAGTATCGCTTGCACCTAAAACGAGGACATACTGGATTACATTAAAAACTTATACCCTTTCCTAAACACCGTCCCACTTCATTACCGTAAAATGTGGCTCACAATGCGAAAAAAAAACACACACAAGAACAAACAAAATCCGAAAGTCCCAAGACAAAACAAACCTGCCGAGCTTGTCACTGCACTTTTTATACGGAATAGATCCTAAAATCAAATGGACATAAAAGCGTAATAGTCATTCGTCCGAACAGTTTCAATGTGAGCTCTCCATATGGCTGACACATTTGCGGTGCTTACTAATTTCTTATATTATAATCCATTTTTTCCCTAACACGCACCTCGCCTGTCATTTCGTTCTCCTTTTCCGGATTCGGTGGATCAGATTGTGGTTCATTAACTGTGTTTGATGAAATATCACCGCCACCTCGATGAGACATCGTGATCTGGAAAACAGAAGATACTGTGAAGGAAAATCAGGTTTATTCAAAAATGGTCATGAGACAAAATGGATTTAGCGCTAGCAGTTAAACAAGCACACATAAGAGCGTCATATAGATCCCTGTAAGAATGACCGAACACACGAACACCACAATTACAAAACAAGCTGAGTCGTTTTGGAAAATGAATGAAGACTGTGGGTTATGAAAGACTGTCTGCAGTTGCGTACAAGGCGCGTTTAGGGCGAGCAGTGGCGGCACCTGTCTCCTGCTCAGCAGCGCAATGGCCCTATCGGGGCACTACTCTCCTTGGAATTTTCGGAGACCAGCCTCCCTGGAAGTTCCTTTACTGGTACGACTCTTCTTTTATCCTGAGTACCACCTCACTGACTTTCCCACTTCTCACCACTTTAGAAAGTTTGGGGTTCCGCAGAAAAATGTTCATAATTCGCTTCCGGAGCAGCTTAAAGATGGGGAAAAAAGGGAATAAGGTTAGTAAGGAGTCGCCAGACTAACTGTGGCAGACACATCCAAAATGGGCGGGGCGTACTCAAGGTGGGCGGTGCTTCTCGCAAAATTCAGTAACCCGGTTCGCGAGAGTGTTTGGAAGTCGCAAAAAACTCAGTGTAGAATGTAAATATCTGGAATATAGGGCACGCTCAAAGTGTGTTGAGACCCGCCCACAGTGGGCGGAGCTTGCCCTAAATCGCAGGGTATTCATTTTAAAAGTTTGTAGCTCGGTTCCAGAACACTCCAGACACCGGAAAAAAGTGGACTAAGGTCAGCAGAGGGTCGCCGGTGAGGATTGTGGGGCACAAAAAATTGGAGGGGGCCTGCTTCGAGGTGGGCGGAGCCAGAGTGGAACGGTTCCAGAACACTCCAGACACCGGAAAAAAAGTGGATTAAGGTCAGCAGAGGGTCGTCGGTGAAGAATGTGAGGCAAAAAAAATTGTGGGAGGGGTCTGCTCTGAGGTGGGCGGCGTCAGACGAAAAATCTCTAAAATAGTTTCAGAGCACTCCAGACACCGGAAAAAAGTGGAGTACAGAACAAAAGGCGGATATCAGTTGAGTCTAGAAATATGTGAAAGAAAATACGCGCGGCAAAGCCGCGCCTCGCCCGCCCGGCGCAGCCGGGCCGTATCAGAAGGCGTTAGCCGGCGAGCCGACTGGTATTCATACAGAGCGTTAAGCTGAAGAGTTGCAGAGTTGAGGGAGACCCCGAAATAGATCAGATATGTTCCAGTTTCGTCGGTCCCTCAGTTGGGTTGACGAAATAGGTCTGTACCCACCAGCATTCAAACTTCGCCACGACGCGCCTTGACGCGCCATGTCGTGACTTTCGTACGACTCTTTTTAAAGGGTCGCGTTATGGGGCGCGCGGCGGTCCTGGCGCGCTTAGCGGCTACGGTCGAACATTCTGGAAGCCGCTAGGGATGCAGAGTCGGCGTCGACTCTGGCTTCTCTCTCACTTCGTCGTCCGCCGCCGTATCGACTGGTCGCTCCTTCGCTCGTCGCTCAGTGCCAACTTCACCATCCAACTTCAATGGCAACACTTCAACATCAAGGAGCCGTACCTCGACAGCAAGCAGCACTACCTCCGGCCGAAGACATCCCAGGTAACCACTGGAGGAGGAGGAGCACCCGAACCTCTTGGGCAGCCAGAGGTGAGGGTGTGTCCAATGCCCCCAGTGGGCTGTACCCTCGTGGCCCGTAGGCAGTTCTCTGGCAGGGTTCGTTAGTAGGTTAGGGGCCGTACCTTACTTTTAGTAGTTTCTTTTTCTATTATTATTCGGTCACAGTTATTTGTAGAGAGGTAAATTAGTTTCAATTACTTTGTGTACTGTCGTGTAGCAA